TATTATACCCCAAACCTTTTAAAAGTTTCCTTTGTTATCTAATCAGCTTACCATATGTCTTCAGCGATTTGAAAGAAAGATCAGCCTGAAGTTGGATTATTGACGTGGTCAAACTACTACAGTCTGATCTAATCAACATGTTTCACTCCTTGTATTAGTTTCAATCATATCGTGATCAAATAGACAGAAAAACTGCTAAAGCTAGCCTTTTCTGTGTGTAAAAACAACAACAACAATCAACCAACACAGGTACAAACCATTACAGTTTTATTTTACATAAAGGTGTTTTTAGTTTCAGGATTTCTATCTGGAGCACTGAATCCATAAAGAACGTTTTTTTTTCTTTCACAAGAAGAAAAAAACATAATGCTCAGTTGAGATTTAACACTTATCTGGATAAAAATAGCTTTCGCCCAGGATCTACATGTTTCCACTGCTGGAGTAAACTCTTTAATTTACAGCATCTGTCAGTGGGGGAGTGAAAATAATGAGCAAATGTTCCCAGTCTTTCCTTTGGAAACTTTGCGCCACACGAATGGATCTAAAGAACCGATACAACAATAATAATAAAACAGTTCTACATAATGCTGTCAAATCTACATTCAGAACCCAAGATGCACAATGTATGTACCAGAGCTCCATTAAATAAGCATATGAACAAGCACATTGAGTCTCTCAGTCCACCTGTCCCCCACACACGTCTGCAGTCCTGTCCCTTCCAGATGAAGCACTCTGAGCAGGGGGTGTGCAGGAGTTTTAACCACGACAGGATTTAAAAAAAACAATACCAAAGGGACATTTTAAAGTCACAAGCGGCTGAATGTGCCCCGTAAAGTTGATGCAAAACCAGTCAATTCTTTTTTACAGGTAGCAGCAACACCCCTGTAATAAGGGGGTTTGGGAGGGGGGTACTGTGAGGGATGAAAGATGGGAACGTCGGAGGAAGATGTGAGGGGAGGGGGGAGTCATTTACAGCTGCTACTGCACAGCTCTGTCCTCGGGGGCCACCGTGTCTGTGTCGTGGCCTCTGCGGTGCCTGTGCTCCGTTTTGTTCCTGTTGTCCGAGTCGTCACGCTCCACCGCCTCCCTGTCCCGCTTCCTCTCCCGTCGCACCTCTTGGCTCTCCTTGTCCTTGCGGTTGTTGCGGTTCCTCCTTCCATTTCGATCGGCCTTTCTCCTTCCTCCTGAAAACAAAAGTTACAAAATCAACACTATATAGATAAATTCATTCAGTGTAGGTGGCTGAATTTCCCAACAGCAGCAGATTTTTATTTTTTAGGAAAGGCGAAACATTGATAAAAATGTTTGAAATGCGTGAACATCCTCTTGACATAAAATGTAAAAGTAAATGTTTGAATATCGCTTACTGTTGGGGTTAGAAATGTAAAAAAAATGTCTTCAGCTCAATGCAGTTACATTTTTATTATTATTTTGTAGTATACTGTTCCTTAACACAAGTCACAAAAAAGTCACAAGAAACTATACTTAGCACAGAAAGTAAAAAAAAAAATTATCAACCAAACACAAATTTCCGTACTTTTTGTGCTACATTTATAAAAAGATAATTATTTATCTCTGAAGCAGTGTCGATGTTTTACCACTAGGTGTCAGTGTTTAATCACAACAGAAGCCCTCCTGCCCGTGACTCAGCTGTTGCCTGTGATGAGCAGACCTTTGTCCAAAATAGAAAGCCTTTAAATCCTCTCCCCTCCCCAATTTATCTGCTCTTGCAACACCCTCTCATAAACAAAACGGAAAGTTTTGGAATGCTGAAGGTTTATCTCTGCTCGAGCCGCAGTTATTAATGATGATAACAAGAGCAACCCTCAGGGAGCTTGGAGACGGGACCTGCGAGTAAAAGCAGAGGAGGCCCTTTCCTGTTGTTGTGCTTCTGCCGCTCGTGTGAGTGGAACAGAGCAGCACGGCCTGCTCGGCGGCTGGCTGGCCGGCCGGCCGGGTGGGGATTGTGAAACTGCTGAAGTAGGCAGGAGCTCAGAGATCCCTGTTTCTCTCTCCTGTCTGCTTCACGTTTGGCTCCTTACCCCACTCCTTCTGAGCATTAATCAAGGCAGGTCTCTGCTTAGAACAAGAACTGCGTCTGACCTTAACATTTCGTACAAGTGATGCAAATCTCTCCCTGCCTGCTGCTTTATCATCCCTTAGGCATCCTTTAAAGAAACTATATACAGTGTGGACACTGCAGTTCATGTCTTGACTGCAACAGAGTGAGTATTTTAAGTACAGCTAGCTCATATCAGTGATAGTGAAGGGAGGTGGTTTCATGGATGGATGGATGAATGAATGGAGTAATCTGGCCCACTGACTCATCCAGGGTATGCCCCCTCGCTCTATAAACACAGGAAGTTCCCTTCGCCCTCATTGTTTTTTCTGTCCTAACACCATAACTATTTACAAGTTCAGTGGATTAGTCATACTGTAGCCCCGGTGCTTTTGTTGAGCCAGAGGAGAAACCTAATCCATGTCAGAGCTGAGATGATTAGCAGAGTGTTTATCAAACCGACCAGCATTTTGGTTAGTTGGAGCAGTTTCCGATGGGCTTCCTGTAAACGGTGAGTTGACGTGTGTGTTTCCAGCAGGTTTTTTAATCAGACAACTTTACAGGTCCTAGAATGTTTTCAAAAGATGCAACTCGTTCCTAAATGTCAGCTTGTCATGAGTGATTTCAGTACTAAGATGCTTAAAGTGAAGCTGGCTTGTGAAACAAAGTATGGAAATCTTTCCAGTAATAACAATGGGTAAGCTCAAAATATCAAAATCAATATAGCCCGTTATGCAAGTTCAACCTGAATAAAATATGCTCACTGTTTTAAAGCTTAGAGATCAATACTTTTCACTTTATAATTGTTAGCTACAAAACTCCCAGTCTTCACAGTATGTTAAACTCAAGGCCTGTGGGCCAAATGTGGCCTGCAAGAGCTTCAAAGATGTGTTAATGTCTTAAAATAAGTGTATGCTGCTTTGAAGCTGCATTGACCATAAACTACATCTCCCAAAATGCATGCCAGTCATTTTAGCCACAAAATGATGTCGTCTCACCACTGGAGGTGCACAAGGTTCAAAAGTAGCAACCATAATTTGCCATGTAATTTCTCCATTTCACTGCATATCTGGGAATAGGGCTGCCACGATTAGTCGACTAGTCACGATTATTGTTGACTATTAAAATTATCGACTAATTTAACAGTTGGTGCATCGTTTTTTTTCTTCTCTAAATTAGTTTTTTCTCTCCAAACTGCTGCGGCACCTTCCAGTGCCACGTCTGCCTTTCTGTCCTTGACACACATGCGCAGTAGTGGTAATTAGGGCTGCCACAAACAATTGTTTTTATAGTCAACTAATCAGTGATTAGTTGACTATAAAAAATACAAAGTTAGAAAAAAAAATACGAGGCATCGACTGTTAAATTAGTCATTGCCGATTTTAATAGTTGAGATAATCATGATTCTGGCAGCCCTATCTGGGAATTCCCTGTCAGAAGTTGGCAAAGTTCAGAATTCAAGATGGCAGCCAAGTACTACGACTCGATAGTGAGTAAAACCCTCTTACTTTTAATAGTATTTCTGTAATGTTTATATGACATTTAGTATTACTTTTCAGTGTTTATAAGAGGACGTGTTAAAACACTGTTTCTATGCAGGAAATACCATGTAGAGCTCGGTTACGGTTTGTTAGCGGTGCTCATAGCAATGAGACGAGGAGCCTGATGTTTCCGGTTTAGCAAAGGTTAAACAAAGTTTATTAACAGTGGCCCTTTGAAGGCAACAATAATAGTCATGTGACCCGCTGTGAAAATGAGTTTGACACCCTTGATCCACACCAACAAAAAATCTATTGCAGGTTTTTGTCCGCCGAACTCGTGCACTGGTGGCTACAGCGGCATAGCTAAGCAAAAAGCTGACCACTAATCCGAAGTCGTCCGATTTTAATTTTTAGGGAGATCAAATCAGAGCAAACGGGCTGCGATGCAATAAAACCTTTGTCTGCAGGAAGAACTTGGCCGTCACAAAGAGTCACGAGTGAACCAAAGCACCAGAGGATGAGCAGCAGACACACCGAGAGCAGAGGGCCACTGAGGGTAGGAGGAAGTGTTTATTTAAGTGTGTGTTTTTGTGGTGGCACATCCTCTGCGGCAGGCGTTGTGTCGTTCACGCAGCTTTTGGCGGGAGCCAGGCTGGGATTAAAGGCCTTGGGCTGTCCCACAAGTGGAATGCCTGCCGCATGGCTGCCAGGATGTCGGAGGGGGCTGCATGGGGGGATATGCTAGATGTGGGTAACGCATACACCCACATATAGTATGATGGTAGCTTGTATGTTTCTGTGTGTAATGGATATCTGTTAGTATCTTTTCTGCATAGGGAGTTCAGAGGGTTCAGGTTTGTCAGAGGGCAGGAGGTTTGTGTAGCTGCAGCGACAGAAAGAGGAACTGCAGGGCCGTCAAAGGACAAATTAATCAGCATTAAGTGGAGAGAGGAGACAGTGAATGAAGATGTGTGTGTGTTCAGGAGGGGCCGGGGGTTGGTGGGTGTAAACATTTTAGGACTGGAGAATGCTGGAGCTCAAAGCTTTGATACTTTTGCTACAGTTTTACTGCTTTCCAAAAGAGATATTGGTGGTTAAACAGTGACCCAGTGGGATGCCAGATTTAGAGCTTCATTATTTAACTAAACAGATTTTAATTACGTAAATCTACAACTGGTCGTCTTATGGAGTCAACCTGATTCAAGATGTCCGTCACTGCTAGTCGACCTTAGCTAACACAAAACGTTTTTACAGATACAGAGCTAAAACCTGGTGTGGGAGTCGCTGACAGTCATCCCCAATCTATACTTTGAGAGATAATAGATCCCACATCAGCTTCCAAAAACGGTGACAAGATGCATTCCTTTAAGACACAGGCTAGGGTTCAAAAAATTTTTTTGTTGTTTATTCTTGTTATAGGTGTCTGAGAGAAGGTGTACGATAAAAAGTTTCTAGATTTAAAAGACTCAATGACAACACAAAGCATGATTTCAAAATGACAAAAAAAGAAAACAATCTTTGGTATATTCTGATCAAACCAGAGTGACTTTGAACAAAAGAAGAAGAAGAAGAAGAAGAAAGGAATAAATCAAGGATGGAAAGAAGGAAGACGTGTGTGTATTTGTTATCATCAGACGCCACGATGAATGGAAGCTAATTATCTGCCTCGGCACAGCCTCTCCTCACTGTTTACGCTCTGCACACGCTAAAGGGTCAGTGGCCCGACCTCAGAGAACCCCCCCACAGTAATCCCCCAGCAACCCCCTGACACTGACACATCCTTCTTCCCATCCGCTTCCTTTCCTCCTCTTTTGTATTATCTCCTTTTAGCCTCTCCTCCCCAGTCTGCGCTGCGTCTCCTCTTCCTTTACCTCTCCTTGGCATAATGCCGTATTCCTCCAAGTCTTTGCTCATTTCCTATGATCTCGCCACCTGGAGGGAGGGCCCACATGGAGCTGACATGTGGGGGTCTATATTGACTTGTGTGTGTGGTTTCAGTTTAGGCTGGAGAATGGATTAGGAAAGAGAGACAGTGAAACGGTGACGGAGTCTGCCTGGATTTTCACAAACTTCATCATGACTGCGGTTATTTCAAGGAAACTTGTTTGGAACGTGTGTGTCTAGGTGCACGAGTGTTTGGTGTGTGAGAGAATCTGTGCAGTTGTCGGTCTTTGTCTGGAATATTGTGTGTGTGTATGTGCTAGGATGGTGTGTTGGCAGCTGTGGGGATAAACCAATACTGATCCCCTGGTTGCCTTGTGCCTCCCAAGGGGAGGATGTTGATGTTGAGCTGACTGTTTTTGCTCCAGAGTCAACTGCATCACGCACACACACACACACACACACACACGCACAATGAGACACACTTGTGCACAGCCACACAAACACAGTGTTTGTTCTGTAAGTGTGAGGCCTCCGGGGGCTCGATCGGAGCCTCCTACCCTGTCTGCAGTCTGTCATTTAACACTACAGAACCTCTGTGGAAAAAAAGACAACCGTAGCCACCAACCACCTCAATAACCACACGCACAGCACACAAAACACGGAGCGGTCGTAAAAAACGCTACAGGCACCAGATCTTTTTAAAAAGACAAGCCCGTCTGAAAGCAGTTTTCACCCTGTTCATTAAAACTAATCACACTATTCCTTGTTTACTGAGTGCACAAGAAGTGGTTTTACAGCTTGAAATCCAAAGGATTTTGTGGGAAAACACACAGTGTACCCATAGCAACATCACACATGTGTCACCACCCCCCCTCCGCCAAACTACTGTCCTCACGTCAGCCACAATGACAGTAGTCTGAGTAAACAGTCACAGTCCTGAGCTCCATGTATAAAGTGCTCAATCTGGAATTCATAAAGAGCTGAGATGATACCATATGTTCCAAACATGATGCTGGCAGTGAACAGTCCTTCAACAGAGAGTTTAAGTTCATGCACTGACTCATGGGAGGTCTTAAATCTGGATCTGACCCATCGTGGACAGAGACTGGGGCAGAGAAACACAGTCATGCTGCAGAAGAGGTATTTTCCTTTACCTGGACACTTCCGCCTTTTGACCAGACAATCCTTGATCTCCGAGATCTCTGGGCAGGGTTTGCCGAAAGGTGACGGATACTGCAGGACCTGCCTCGTGCGAGTCTCTTGGCCTCGTTTGAAGCCACAGGTTCGGCCCGACTTGAAGCAGGGGCTCCAGTCGCTCCACTCACCCACCTTGCAGTGCACTGACAGCAGAAACACGGGAAAGAAGAGCAAAGCGTGAGTAATGGTTTCAACATTGTTAAAACTGACATCCATTTCCTGGAAATAGCTCTTTGAACAACCTCAGTTTGAAGGAAAAAAAAGTTCAGTTTTGACTAAATCATTGAACTGATGGCTAATCTGAGCAAATAAAGTTGGTTACTTCCATCATAGACATCTGATCTGTGGAGAGGGATCTGGATCAATGGTGCAAGGGGAGCAACTGCAACCCCTCACAATTTAATTGGTTCAGTCTAATTCAGCCAGTAGCCTTCACCACAAGCATTTAGTTGTGGTAGTGGTGAGTAAGAAAGCTAAAGTTTTTTTATGTTAAAACTATGGTTCATCAAACAGAATGGAGAGGAATGATTCCTTTCGTTTCGGAGGCCATGAAATCTACAAGTCTCCCCCCCCACCCC